AAAAAAAAAAAAACAAATGAATAATTGGTTTAGTTAATGATTATCCTGCTTGTTTTATTTTTTAATTTAAAGGGTTGTGTGTTGTGCCCAAAGTGAGTGACTAGATTAGAACATTTTAATTTGAGTTTTTTTATGTAAGTAGTGATTATTTTTGTGTGCCTATGTATTTTAGGTTTGTTGACTGTATTGTTTTGTTTTTTTTTTGTTGACACGTTTTAAGTTCAAAATAAATGCCTAATACAGTTAAATTATTGAAACTTTCGCGAGACATTTTATAATTATTTAACGGCTTACTCACGTCATAGTTTTTTGACGTGAGTAAGCCGTTAAGCCTAATACAGTGTACAAAAACTTACTTAATTGTGACGTATGTACTTAAAACATAGAAAATTATTATACACATTTATGATTTTTATTGCAACAAATTCATTTTTTTTTATTTTGTCATGTTTGTTATAGTATACGATAAAAAAATGAACCATTTTGTAGACACAATATATTTATTTCTCATTAATATTGTGATATTTCATCATTTCCATATAGTAACTATAACTAATGTTTTAGTTGAAATTATCTTGGGCTTTATATTTTTTGTTTGTTACGATAATTTACTTTAAATAAGTTTAAAAACAAAAAGTATAAAAACTGGACAATCTTCAACACTTGTTTTTTATTTAGGTCAAGGACCAATAATAAACTTTATTGGTCTGATATTGAGTATTGTGCTTATACATAAATATACTTTTTGCAGAATAATTTTTGTGTTTTTTTTATTTCACCATTTTTGCGCATAGCAACACTGCTTTGCTACACTTTTGTGCTTTTGTTGCTTTGGTTTGGCTGCATTCAGTGTATTTGTGTATAATAATTATTTTCTTATTCTTATTGTTAAAATTTTGTCATATTTTTTTGTTGATTAGATTTTTGTTTTAGAAATAATCTTAGTAATTTTAGAATACTGATAACTAAGAAAAAAAAAGGGATAAATATCGATTTAAACCGAAAATAGCTTTAGCTTTATTGTTGGAGAGTAAACGTTGGAGATGAATCTACTTTTTTAAAATGATTTATTATATTAAATAACTCACTTGCATTACAATAATTAAATATTGTAACTAAAATGTATGTGACTACTTTCAGACATCAGCAAACATTCTATAACGAAACATTGCTAATATATTTTAACAGGATTGACATCACAATATAACCTAAAAATGAGTACTTATTATGTTTACGACAATATTTGTATCAACACTGAATTGTAAATTACAGACGAAAAATCAAATTTGATGACTCGTTCGCTAACGACGTCTATCCAGCAAGCTGTGAACACGGTGCGCGAGCTGACGCAGCTGGACAGCACCGCGCCGTACATCAACAGTGTACTGGAACAGCCACTGTCCTTGCTGACCAGGAACGAGATCATAGACAGCGGAGTCGTGGCCAGCGCTGAGGAGTGCTTCGAATTACCGCCCATAAAGAATCTGCCCATAGACATCGCAGATAATGTCCTAGAGTCTATTGTCAATGAGTTTAAAGATGTATCAAGTGATGCTGAGGAAATAAGGAAAGTGAAATCTGAAGAATTGCAGAAGAAATTGAGTATGTATAATAGGATAATGGAGAAGAAATGCGATGAGGAGGTGATACACAGTAGTAAAAGGAGTCGAAGACGTGAGACGGGGTCCGGCGCGAGCACGCCGCGGCTCAGGACGCCTGCGCGCCGCACGCCCGCGCACTGCTACACCACGCCTTGTGTTATGAACGTCAGTGTGTACAGGTATGTTAAATATTACTATGTTTTGCTCGCAACTATGTCTGCTTGAAATTAAAAAAAATAACTATATGTTCTTATGTTCCTATGCCTATATTATCTTCCAAACTATCCTCTATATCTATATCAAATTTAATCGAAATCTGTTTAGGCGTATAGGCTACAAACTCTTACAAACATCCAGCCATCCATCTAAACTTATCCATTTATAATATTAGTATGGTTCAAAAAATGTCGATAAAAAACATTTTTTTATAATGATTTACCTACCTTACCAATACATACTGATTGTCTATATTGTGCAATAATCTTGGGGTGGAAAGGTGCATTTCCATGCAAGTTAAATGGCAGCTACTGACATATTTAAACTCTAATTGGCATGCAAGTTACATTTCCCAATGACTGGCATGTAAATTCACCCCTTAATTATTCAATACCAAAAAAAAATATCTTACAAAATACTTTTAATCGATAGTAAATATTTTTGTTTTCAGTAATGATACACAAAGCGACGATTTACTTGAAAAAGAGATTGAAGAGAAAGAGAAAATCCTAGCCAAGTTATTGAATCTCGAATCTTTTAGTATAACGAGTCATATAACAAAGCCAGAAAACACAATAAAAGAGCCTCAAGAGATCGAATACTTCAAACCGTACGAAGAAAAACCGGTGCATATAGAAAAACAAGAGAAACCGATCAAAAAACCTGTTCAAGTGAAAATGGAGCCTAATGTAATAGATTTAGTGCCTAAAGTGGTGCAGCTGCCGAACAACTGGAACCTAGAGAATATAGAATTGAGGTTAGATTTGAAAAACGGAGTTAAAGATGTCCTTTCTCCGGACGAGCACTTGGACAGCGAGTGGGAGCTTATCTGATCAATGTGCACGCATTTAGGTGAATAAAGTTTTTTTTTAATAGACGGCCTGTCCCACCACTGGCTGATAAAGGGTCAGATAACTTAAAATTGACGTCACTGTCAGATTAGGGTACAAAATCCGATATTTCACACATTGGATTGTTATCAGGCAATTTACAATTTAATGAGACAGGCCTTTAAAACTGTCAAGGGTTTACTGTTGCCTACCTTTTTAAGGGGAGGGGAGAAATAAGAGATAATCTCGCGTTCACTATTAGACCAAACAGGGTACCAATACTAAGGGCCTAATTTAGTTCCTTTCCCTTTCCACCTTTTTCTTAAGAGGAAATGATGGAAAGGAAAAGTGGATTTGACGGTGGAGGAGACGCATAGGAAGGGGAAATATCCTCTTTATGTGCGTCTCCTCCTTCGTCAATGAAGGGCAACGCTGCAATTGCGGATGTTTATTGGTAGCGGTCGCTTTCTATTTCGGTGGATTCAGGTGGCCGCTTGCGAGTTTGCCACTCTATATTATGAAAAAAAAAACTTTGAAATTCCTCTACTTTTATTATAAGGTAGTAAATGAGTAAGCGGCCACCTGGATTCGCCAAAATAGCGAAGCGCACACTGTCCAAATATATCCACATTGGTAACTGCGTTGCCTACATTTAATCAACGAATAAAGTAACGCATAAAAGGATATACTATTATTGCTTACAAAATATTCCTCCCCGTGAAATTTATAAGTTCAAAACTTACGATTGCCCCTTTTTTCAAAAACGGTCCAGAAATACGCTGTTTATGGTTCCTCAATAAAGTAATAATATAAAGCCTATGTTATTCACAGATAAATACCTTTGTAATGGTGAAAGAATTTTTAAAATCGGCCCAGTAGTTTTTACGTGAATCGAATACATACAAATCCGAAAATACAAGTCTTCCCTTTTTATAATCTAGACTAATTTTATAGTTATTAATAAAATAATTAACATTTCAGATAATGTTACATCGAGAATGCGTCAACAACGCGGCGAAGAAAGTTAATTATTAGCACTAATGTTTATTTAAAATGTAGCTAATAGTTTTACACGCAAATATATGAACAAGCACCAATAGCTCAGTGGCGTGCGCTGTGGAGTAAGAAATGAGGTCGTAGGTTCCTAGCACAAGTGTAAGCAAATTTTAGACGATTACAGTCGATGAGCTAGGCTATGTCTAGAATACTTTCTCGATTTCGTGCTAGATGTAGACAGACGTTATGTTAATTTACTCTCAGTTTCTGCCTTTTCTAGTAAAATTGTATTCCAATTTTCCTAAAAATTTGTGAGTTTTGTGTTTTATATTCCAAAAAATTATGATTATTAGAATGTGGCTTTAATTTTCGAATCCTTAGACTTATTTTATAATTTTAATTAAATGCATTTATATGAGGCTATAAAGTTTGTTGAAGCCTAAGATCTAATATGTAATTAAATTTACAAGTAAGATTAAAAAACAACGAGAAATCAACACTTAGTGTCTCCCTTAGTGGACATACTGTGAGTGCAGGAGTTAAATTGCGTTTATTTATCGTGTAGCAGATTTTTTATTAAGTTCGAGTAGTAATTAAATATAAAAGAGGCAATTATTATTTTATAGCTATAGTTTATACATTTTTTTTACACAAATAATTATTTAAACATTTATCGTTTGTTAAGATGCTAAATTATATAAAATAGAAATGTATTACAAAACTGTATTATAATAATTTTTTTGAATGTGAAATTTTGATAAGAATCTCTCGATAAGAAACTCCGCTGGATAAGAAAAGAATTAATATATGGTCAGTTGCTATTATAAATAAAAAAAGCAACTACAGTTTGTATAAAAATTGCCGCTAAAATCTTATTTATAAAAGTATAATTATGTATTTTTAACGATTGACCAAATATGTATTAAATTATTGAAATCTCAAAAATAGCACAATACATTATATTGTCTAGAAAATATGTTTTTGTGCTCGTGAATAAATACGTCCGTTTGTAGTTATAAATAATCTTTTGTAATGGATGTAGGTATTTTTTTTAAATTCCTGGTAAAAGTAAAGTTATCGGAGTTTTAAGCATCATTGCATTTTAACGATATTCTGTTTTCAAATCAACACAAAATGCTATGCTTTTTATTGTGGACATGTTTTATTTTGTGATATAGTAAAAAATGCCGTTTGTAAAAATAAAGTAATAAATATATCAATACTGTGCAATGTTTTAATTTATCCCAGACTGTTACTGCTATGCAGGGATGGCAACCCACTGACATAATATTTTGGGCACGTCGATGATTACAAAAAGACTACAAACTTTGTGAAGTATGAAGTAAGTATTATATGGACAAAAAACGAACCCGATGCCATGCGCCATTGAATTGATGTAATATTCAGTCAAAACTATTTGATGGCACGTCTTCGACCGCATTAAACATGTCTTAAATATGGCACCCTGAAGCATAAAGGTGTGCCACCCCTGGCATATGGCAAAAGGCAAAACAAAAACTCCAGTGTCATTTTCGCATTTCTTGGAATTACGTAGTTTTTTTTGTTTTTCGCACTACATACAAGATGGCGTTGTTACAACTTTTAAGCGGCATGCAGCTATCATTTTTGTTCAAACTTTTTAATATGAAAAAGGTATCTAAGTATAACACTTTGCTTGATAATCATACTAATACTAATATTATAAATGTGAAAGTTTAGATTGATGGATGGATGTTTGTTAGAATTTGTATGTAGTCTGTAAATTACATCCTCTTTGGTTTTAGATAGCTTGGAAGAACACAGGCTACTGCTACTTGCATTTGTTTTGTTTTAATTCCGCGCGGATGAATTCTCGGGCGAAAGCTAGTAAGAAAATTAAATTTACATCTTTATTTCGGAACTGATAAATGTTTGGTCTTAAACATGTTGAGTGACTTCGCCGCTAGATGTCGTAACAAGCGATTGTTAAAAATGAGAAACGCGATGTAGAGAATGGTGTCACTGGAATGAGGTGCGCGCGGAAGACAAATTCCGGCAAGACCTTACTTCATAGGATCATTTCTATAGTAAGTTCTTCACGAGACCTTCACAACATGTGAGATGGTGCCAACCACGTTGATGAGGCGTGGCGCGGCGTCCTGAGCGTGAGGCGGGCGGCAGTAGCTCGCTGCCAGCCCTCGATGATCGTTCGCTCTCTGCGCAAGCGGGGAGAGTGGGGCGCTGTCGCTGTCTGAGTGGTTTTTTTTTAACTTTATATATATTTAACAGATCCAGAACAGAATTGTTAATTTGAATTAATAATAGTAAAGCATAAAGCAAATCTTATTTGATAAAATTATATCATATATTTTTAACGATTGACGAAACGAAATATGTATTAAATTATTGAAATCTCAAAAATTGCACAATACACATTATTATTAAAGAAAAATGCTTTTTATTGTGTACAATGTACATGTTTTATTTTGTGATATAGTAAAAATGCCGTTTGTAAAGTAATAAAAAGTATATCAACACTATGCAATATTTTTATTTATCCCAGACTGACTGCATAGGGCAGGGATGATGAACCACCGGCACACGTGTCATTAATGGCACATGGCACAGTATTTTGGGTACGTGTATGATCATAAAAACACTACGAAAACCTATTAGCAAATATGTATAAAAAGTTAACCCGAACATTACCATGCACCATGGAATTGACGTAATAATCAGTGAAAACTATTTGATGGCACATCTTCGACCGCTTAAACATTTACTAAAAATTGGCACTTTGATGCATAAAGATGCTTCACCCCTGACCCCTGGCATATGGCATAAGCAAAATAAAATTTCCAGTTTCATTTTCGTAATTCTTGAAAATACGAGCAGGCAGTTTTTTTTGTTTATTGAACTACAAATAAGATGGCGCTGTTAAAAATTCTAAGCGGCATGCAGCTATTATTTTGGTTTTAAGTTAACGTTTTAATACCAAAAAAGTATGTAAGTATAAAGTGCTTGATAATAAAAAAATAAAGCCATTTTACAATTTCATATAAATAAATAACTATCGGAACTTAAAAGTTTGGTCTTAAACATGTTGAGTTACTTTACCGCTAGATGTCATAAGAAGCGATTGTTAAAAATCAGAAACGCGATGTAGAGAATGGTGTCACTGGAATCAGGTGCGCGCGGAAGCCAAATTCCGGCAAGACCTTACTTCATAGGATCATTTCTATAGTAAGTTCTTCACGAGACCTTCACAACATGTGAGATGGTGCCAACCACGTTGATGAGGCGTGGCGCGGCGTCCTGAGCGTGAGGCGGGCGGCAGCAGCTCGCTGCCAGCCCTCGATGATCGTTCGCTCTCCGCGCAAGCGGGGAGAGTGGGGCGCTGTCGCTGTCTGAGTGGTTTTTTTTTAACATTGTATATCGTTGACTTCTGGTTTGGACAAGAACGGACGAATGGCGATTGGTGCATTTGAGGTCTGGTCTGTTAAGAAATTTTAAAATGTAGTTAATAAGGTGTTAATGTTAGGCATTACTATGTAATATTATTTATAATATATAAGTCTTGGATCATTGCATATTTGTAACACTGTGCAATCAGTTGACAAATGTTTTAGTGTATTGTATAATTAACTAGTGGTTGCTTGCGACTTGGCCCGCGTGAAATTAAATAATGCCTATGTTTTTCACGGATACCGTAGCTTTTTAACGGTAAAAGATTTTTTTTACATTGGCCCAGTAGTTGAGTTATTTCAATACATATAAAAATACAAATCTTTCCTCTTTATGATATTAGGATAAATAGTACAGTGTCGAATGCGTTGTGTTTACCACTGAGATTTTATCCTGGAATATTGCGTGGTAAAATATCGTTATCAGTGTTTTTAATGAAGAAGGTAATAAAATATAAAACATCATACACGTACAAACTTTATTTGAATAACACAAGATCGTGCTCCTCTCAACTCCCAGCCGCGAAATAAATAAACTAAACAAACAAACCAACAACTATCCCTTCGTGCGTTTCGCACAACAGTTACGTTTCAATCAAAATATATACATAATATGATCTACTCAATTCAAACCTACACATTGTCAATACAATTAATCACCTTACACTGATTTTAGCAAGATTTTTTAAGGTAAAACAAAACATGAATATAATATCTCATTAGTACAAATTATAAGAAATGGACACCAAAATTAAGGTGTCCTACGTCAAAAGTAAACGCGAAACGAAGCGACGCGATTTAACACTACCAATACCCAGTAGAAATTATATTATGACAAAAACACATGAAACTTAGTGTTTCCATTCCCTCGACACTTGTACATAAACATTTTATTGCTTTCTTTTTCACGATATGTCAAGTCGAGTCGCTTCGCCCCCTTTACTACTCACATACAGACCTGATTATATAAAAAAAAACAGCTACTATAAATATTATAAGAAACAAAATTGTGATTTAAATATTTGAAACAAGAGAGGATAGGCATTGCACAAAGAAAAATGTTCAAAAAAAAACGTTTAAAACTTATACAAAAATAATACTTTGACGTCAAACCTACCATACTTAGCAATAAATTGGTTATTCATTAAAATAAATACAAATTGGAAACCTAAAGAGATCGACTTAGTATTCTTATATAAAGCAATGATGTAAGGACGCTACAATTAAGTACTAGTCTACGATAACATATTGGTCAGATCAATAATGTGACCTTAATCTCAATAAAATACACTAGAAAATAAGCTACGCAATTAAGCTAAGACTGGCCAAATATTTCCAATATCAAAACATGACAAAACATTGATATACTAAAGCAACATTTGTTTGCCACACTAAGCTCGCAAACTTTTTGCCATACAATTTCCCATCCAATACTTGGCGGCATTTTGCCAATCGTCCAATACTTGCAACCAACATATTATCTCAATAACCAACAAAGCCAAATACATAACAAGTTACATTAAATATCACAACACGTCAGCGCAAATAAAGCCGTATACTTAGTACAATAAAGCTGCTTATAATTCGATCACTCACTCGCGCGTCACCTGAATTGTAACGCGGCCATTTTGAATCATTATTCGAAAATGTCCAGGATACAAAGATTCCAAATTCAAATTAATGTCAAATGACAAAGACTTTTTCACCAAAACATCACATTTTACAATTCAGGTAACTTTAAGACTTATTAGAGGTTATTTGCATAAATCTACATAACCAAAGTTTATTTCAGTCGTGACGAAGTATTAAGTCTCGCCTTTTACCTTATAAACTAAGAACTAGCTTTGAATCTAACTTAATTATAATTCACATCCTGTTCCTAAATATAACTCGATACTTCGAACATAACACCGTGATGGTATCAATCTTATCCCCGGTTCACACTTGGCCAGTACAATTGGATTGTTCCGACGGCAAGCGCAATAATTTGCGCCTGTTAGCGTTCGTACTTTGCTAGTTACTTGACAGTCCAATCAGAGCGCTACTAACCAACTGTACTGGTCAAATGTAAACCGCGCATTATTTTCCTACTTTTACAAGGCAGTGCATATAGATTAAAAATATTACGCTCACAATAGATCAATACATCAAAAAAGATCTTTTTTTACAATCAAATTATTTAATTAATGTTGACAATAA